CACTTACACACATACACCCTCCAGCCATACTAACATACTTTGCACCGACACACACCTTCACACTCACAAACACTCTCATCCATACCAACATAACCCTCATCCATACACTCACACACCTTCATCCATACATACCCACAAACTCCTCCATACTCCCACACACCCTCCTCCATACTCATACATACACTCATTCATACCAACACACACACACACTCCTCCACACATACCCACACACACACCAACATCCATACTAACACACAACCTCCTCAATACTCACACACCCTCATCCATACTCATACACACACTCCTTCATAGTCACACACACACTCCTCCACACATACCCACACAAACACAACTTCCTTACCCATACACACCCTCCTTCATACTCACAAAACCCTTCCCCATATTCATACACCTTTCACCCCAACACACACACCTCCATATTCCCCTTATTTACTTTACCCCCATCCCATACTCATCCTCCCCCATCCATACCCCCCCCCCCCCCCACCTCTCTAGCACCTGGAAACCTTAACCTTTGCCTCTACTTTCTCAACACCCTACCTACCCATTTACTTAATTAACCTACAAATCAGCATTAACGCATAAACTAGGTCACCCATGTCTTCCCGCCAAAATATCCACACCCCCCACCTCCTGGTATTCGTGACCACTGGAATACGGTAGTCACGTGAATTTTTACTCACGTTTAAAAAAAATACCTCCATGGTAGAAAAAAAATAACTTGCTCTACCAAACCACTGTACTCAACCATTACCTGGCAAAAGGTAAAAGACGGAATCTCACCCTGATGAAAAGTTTTGTCTGTTTTATAGTCCAACTGATGTGGGTGGTGTCTTATTTTAGTTCTAAAAACAGTCATGTATTCAGGATGGGCTTAGTTCAATGGTTGAAGCTGTCGGCAATAAAAGTGGTTTTCAAAGAGATGAAATGAAATCAGATATTTGCGTTGGTGTGATATGAAGGCGAGAAAAAAAAAAATAATAAAATACTTTTCTTATTTTATTTTTAAATCAGACGCATTTTATTTGATTAAATATAAATTGAGGTTTACTCTTGCTAAAAAGAAGTCTATCTGGCTTAAAATAAAACTTCAATTGTCGGTACATTTCTTGTTTTAATAGACTAACCCGAAAGTCGTGGGTTCGGATCTCAGTCTAGACTAGAGTTACCCAGCTGTGATAGGTACCTAACTCATCTTAGGGAAAGTAAAGCCGGATGGGTGTAGTACTGACCACACTAACCCTTCATACGCTGAGTTCAAGAAACATTATGAACTATGCTCTCGATCATTAAGCTTAAAAGGGAAATTTTACTTACGGTTGCAAGTGTATAACTGTGTTACTTATTGTTGCGGGTGTATGATTGTGTTACTTATTGTTGCGGGTGTATGATTGTGTTACTTATTGTTGCGGGTGTATGATTGTGTTACTTATTGTTTCACGAGTATTAGTGTGTGATAAGTAATAAACCCAAGGCGTTTTAAATACGAACGAACTAGCCTATCTAGGCTGAGTGATTCAGGGAAATATCTCATTCACAAACCCGGGGACTCAAACGAGTGTATTGTGAGTGTTCAACTGTGTATCTTACCATTTATGATGTATACAACTGTATCTGTATACTTCTAAAACAGGATAATCTTAACATTATTTTAGAATTCATTTAAATACCGGTCTTACTGATAGGAGTATTAAAAACCAATGGCACCATTTGTGATGTATACAACTTTATTTGTTTGTATGCTTATAAATCAGAATAAATCTTAATGATGTTACACATTTTATTTAAAAGATGTTTTTTGCTGATCAGAGTATACAAAAACTAAACTATAAACCCTGAATATAGATTTATAAACGAACGTAATGCACGTATTATGCACACATTGTCCCTTTGCTTAAAAAACGAGTTTTTGATGCCTGGTTAAGCAGCGTTTCTTTGAATCCCAGATTTACGGCGCCAAACTTCCGTATCTCTAACCGGATATCACGCTATGACCGGAAATGCGATGTGAACAAGCCTTTTCCCTTTTACTGGCTATCGATCCACCTTAAAACGCCATATTGATTTGGAACATTCTCATTTAGGAGTAGACAACAACGATTTCTATTTATGTGAGGTAAAGATAAGTCAATGTTGGGATTCACAGTGGTGTACTGCAAAGTCTCGTAATGCCTAGCGTATCTACTTTGAATTTTTTCGTTTTGATGTTTTTTAATTTATTTTTGCGCGTTTCCGAATTAGAAAGTTTTAAATTTCAAACGTTTCTGAATAAGAACTTTTTTGCTCTCGAACTTTTCTGATTTAGTATGAATGGGGTTAGTTTCGGATTAAGTAGGATGTTAATGTTTGGGATGGGACTGCGTGGCGTAGCGGTTAAGTACTAGACTGCCAACCCGAAAGTCTCCAGTTCGAATCCGGGTTCAAGTCAGTAGAACGTCCCCGAGTTTACCCAGGTCTGAAGGGTCTTAGACTCACGTTAGGGAAAGTAAAGGCGTCTTCGCATAGCGTTGATCACACTCTCTCTTCATATGCTAAGGTCACAGAAACAGGCGAACTCTACTTCCGTTGCACCATGGACTGTCAGGTTCGAAAAGTGAATTTTTTAATGTTTCGGACTACGAACGTTTCGGACTACGGACATCCGGATAATATTTTTTTTAAAGACAGCAGCTTCAAATAATATACTCTAAAAATATATATATTGAATAGCTAGAGGCCATGCATTGTTGAAGAAATACAAATACAATTATAAAACTCAAGTGCAATTATGAATAACTACCAAATGTAACATTTTTACAACTAAACATGAACACTGGAATTATCAGGGATTTGATGAAAAGATAAATAGCAAAGCAAGACTCTTAACTGCACTAATTAACAAGTGCGCATTAGTAAACTTCATCATTATATTTTTGATCAAATTGTCTTTTAATTAATCAAACACGCATTTAAATTACGTCTGATAAATACAGTTTTATACAATCTGTTTCGTTTTCTTTTTTATTGTTTCCTGATCCAACTTTTCTGTCTGCCATCATTATTATCGAGGTCATCACATCCGGGAATTCCCAGTACGCAGGTAATCTATTTTTAGACGCACAATCTGCGCAAAAACTGTCCGCTCTATCCTGCGAGTGTCTGTATCATCTCCAACAGCTTCCGTCTAACCTCTTAGGGAAGAGTGTTTGTCTTAGTGGTTTTCAAAGCGATGAGGCGCATCTATATGTCTAGCTACCGTCCGTTTATATATCCGCCAATTTCTTTTAAAGAATTCGATAACATTTAACCAGAAACCAAGTTTTATTGATCCAAGAGTCTATACGTCCAATTGTCCATCCATTAATCCATCCATCCATCCATCCATTCATCCATCCATCCATCCATCCGTCCATCCGTCCATCCGTCCATCCGTCCATCCGTCCATCCGTCCATCCGTCCATCCGTCCATCCGTCCATCCGTCCATCCGTCCATCCGTCCATCCGTCCATCCGTCCATCCGTCCATCCGTCCATCCGTCCATCCGTCTACATATCCATCCATCTACCCATCCACCTATTCAATCACCATTATATCCATATATTCCCTCACGTATAAAAAAACCAACATCATCTCCTTGTCTAAAATTATGCGAAACTTAAAACCCGTATTTATTTTCCACGTGGCAAATCCCATAAAAAACAAAACCAGTTTTGTTTTACGTACCATTCTAACTGCGCAAAGCTCACATAAATAAAAAAGTATAGATTTTCTTCCGCAAGAAAATCTTCAAGTGATACTAGAATCTACCACCAAGTGCTACTTAGATCTAGACAGATATAAATATCGTATTATGTATTTCGTTAGGAGTTTGATATGATCCAGATTACAAGGTAAAGCTAGACTGAGGATGGGATGCTCTCTTTAGTGTTAGATAAAACATTAGGCTAGACAGAGGATGGAATACTCTCTCTAGTATTGGATACATTAGCAGGCTAGGCAGAGGATGGAATGCTCTCTTTAGTGTTGGATAAGATATGAGGCTAGACAGAGGATTTATACTTTATTTATAGCAAAAATTGTTTAAAAAAAACATTTACTCTAAAAGACGTCAAAATCTATCAATTTCCTTAAAAGTATTTATGTTATTTTAGTTTCACATATTAACTTTGCGCATTTTAAAAATATTTTCTATGAGAGACTAATGCATGTAAAAAGGAATATGAAATACTTCTGCCAAAGCTGAACCTTCATCTCGTTTTCCCCATTTTTTACTTTGCGAAGGTTGATTACAAACAGATCGCACTCTTGTGCAATTTGATCAAATAACTCATTAGGGAAAATAAGCTACCCTCGTTTGCTTCAGGGCTGACCTAATCCACGTTTAACAATTTAAAGCATTCACTCTAACACGCTAAAACTAAGCCATATAAACCTAAACCTACGCTGCTCGTATACAATCCAGTCCATCACCCTAATCCCTAGCATAAACCGAAAACGTAAAGCATACATGGCTAAACCTAACTCAGCTTCGCTAACTATAGTAGATCGGTTGCCTATGGTCACAATCTGACAGACAATAGAATAATAGATCCTCGTTGAGTTAAGTATGTGGACTGGGGCTGATGGGTAATTTGTATATCATATTTATCTACAAGCCAGGATTATGTATATATATATATATATATATATATATATATATATATATATATATATATATATATATATATATATTTAAATGCATGCGTATGTGTGTTTATGTGTTTATGTATGTGTGTGTTCGTGGGTGTGTGTGTGTGTGTTACTACGTGTGATTATATCTGTGTGTGCGTGAGTGTATTTCTCTTTATGTATGTATATATACAATACATAGCTTAGTACAATGTATACTGCCCTACTTTTAGAAATAATATAACAACAATTGACATACTTCTCTATTTATGCCACTGCTGTAATTATGATGTAATTTGAATTAACTAAAAAAAAAAGACAAAATCACTTACCTTTAATGTATTGATCAGATAATCGAATCCCCGTCCTTTGCGTCGAAAAATCGGGATATCGATCACTGAATTAGACCTGATTCCTCTCGAAAGATGTTTTACAAATCGAAAATCTGCTTACAATTGTTGCGTATGTTCTTCTATTGTTTTCTCCAGTTTATCAATAGAACAAAATAGTTCTGCCATGTAGGTCTTATCTTGTTTTTGTAATCACAAAACGAAAAAAAATATTTCCTAGTTATTCATTTAAAGAACTCAATCCTACTCGTGTCCGAATTTCTGAATTCAAAACAGGAAAAAAAAACACTTCTAGAATTCCAGTGTTGTTGTGGTTGAATTTTTTTCTAAACCCCCATCGAAACGAACCGAACAAATTCTTTTCCCTACTTTTTTCTTCTTTCTTTTAGTTTCTCCTTCGCAAGCTACCTCTATCAAACCTACGCCTTAAAAAGTCCGGTTATCCCCCTTGAGAACTCCTACCTGAAGAGTTGCTTCCCTGCCCCAACTACATTATTTGCACCTCTCTTTCTTCCCTGCGCGGCCGAATTCCCTGAAACGCCTACGTGGAGTCTAGTGCTCACCTACGCAAACTGTATTTTCATCCACACTGCTCTCAATAGAACCCCAGCAATATTTGCGGATTTTTTTTTTACTTACATTCGTCTTCAAAACATTTTTTTTTCATCTCCCTTCATCTTAAAACGGATGAATTTTTTTTTTCTTATCTGTTTTTCTTATCTTAAATATTTGCAATTTCGCGGTTGCTTATTCGCGTAACTCAAGCGAAAATCGCGTAAACATTAAGATATGCGTTTAAAATAATTTAAAATATTTCAGCATCTCAGTGTCGGTATTTTTTTTTCGTTTTAAATTTGTTTAACCCGGTGTGCCATCCAAGGATTCTCTTCACAATAAAGGTGGGGTGGGGGAGGGGTTGTAGGGGGTGCAGGTGGTAGGGTAGGTGGTTAAGTTCTTTTCAAGAGACTGATATAGGATTGGGAGGGGAGGGGGGTAAGTTATCTTCTGGAGACTGATTGAGGAGAAGGGTTAAGCTCTCTTCGGGAGACTGAGGGGGGAGGGGGGGGGGGTAAGTTATTTGCTGGAGACTGAGAGTGGGGGGGGGGGGAAGAATGTGAAAATTGTTTGACCTTAAGCAATGTTTCATCATTTTTTTAAAAAACAGTACCACTGTGTTTATTTTCAAATACATGTTGTAATATTTATGTATACTTTTTCTCGTTGTTCTGACAGAGATTCCAGACATGCTAGGTCAGGTGAGGAAACACACGGTGTCGTCTCTCCCCCCCCCCCCCCCCCTTCCCTCCCCTATCCTCCAACGATAACATTTATGATATACTAAAAATAAAGTCAATTTGGTGTCACCGCCATTATGGTTGTTGTCTTCTGTGCCTAATGATGTATGTAAAGTAATGAGTTATTAAACTAATAGGGAACAGAAGACTTAAAAAAATAAACTTAGTTGTATTTCGTTTTGTTATCACCTGTTGGATGGTGTCAGATGTTTCGGTCCCCACCCCCTCTTCGCTGTAAAACTACTGCCTATACCCTCACCTCACCCCCCCCCTAGGGGAGCTAAGTTTAAGATCACAATCTTCAGTTTAGAAAACTTTTTAAAACACTATCTTTAATACTCAATTAGTTTTTAAAACGATGTCATCTCACCTCGTTCCTAAAACTGTCTTGTACATTTCTTTGGTATTTTTCTCTAGGTTTACTATTAGAGATTCTAGTAAAGTATCCGTTTAGACTATACATTCACTCGCACTCACACAGAAATGATATACTGTTAGAAATGCTAGTAAAGTACCCATTTAGACTAGAGAGCCACTGCCTCTCCAATCAGATCCAATAGGTTTACAATCAGAGTTTCTTCCAGGCATCTCTTCGGGGGTGGGGGGGGGTGTGGGGGTGGGGGGGGGATGCGCCCGAAAAAAGTCTACCGCCCCCCGAACGAAATGGAATTTATATAGAAAATATATACTTTAAACTGTGTCCAGCCCTCCGGAAATTTTAGTCCCCCCCCCCCTCCGAAAATATCAAGTGCCCTCTTCCCCCCCCCCCACCCCCACCCAGGAGAACGAGTCTGCAAGAAACACTGTCTACAATTAGAAATTCTAGTAAAGTACCCAGAATAGAGAGCCATTCACCCCCCCCCCCCCCCCCGCCCCCATCAAATCCAATAGGTTTACAATTAGAAATTCTAGTAAAGTACCCAGTCTAGACAGTCACTCCCCCTTCCGTCCAATAGGTTTACAATTAAAAATTCTAGTAAAGTACCCAGTCTAGACAGTCGCTCCCCCTCCCGTCCAATAGGTTTACAACTAGAAATTCTAGTAAAGTACCCAGTCTAGACAGTCGCTCCCCCTTCCGTCCAATAGGTTTACAACTAGAAATTCTAGTAAAGTACCCAGTCTAGACAGTCGCTCCCCCTTCCGTCCAATAGGTTTACAACTAGAAATTCTAGTAAAGTACCCAGTCTAGACAGTCATTCCCCCTTCCGTCCAATAGGTTTACAACTAGAAATTCTAGTAAAGTACCCAGTCTAGACAGTCATTCCCCCTTCCGTCCAATAGGTTTACAACTAGAAATTCTAGTAAAGTACCCAGTCTAGACAGTCATTCCCCCTTCCGTCCAATAGGTTTACAACTAGAAATTCTAGTAAAGTACCCAGTCTAGACAGTCACTCCCCCTCCTATAGGTTAACAATTAGAAATTCCAGTAAAGTACCCAGTCTAGACAGTCGCTCCCCCTGCCATCCTACCCTCATTCCTCCGCCCACTATTCCATAAAATGTGAAGTCTGACGTTAAAGGGAGACGATTAGTGTTGTTTTTTCCCCTACTTTTTATCTCCACTTGTTAACGTTTCAATTAAGTGATTCTAAATTCGAACAAATTAAGGGTAGACAACTTGAAGTTTCCCCAGTTAATTATTTGTCTCCCCCTCCGCCTTGTTAATCAATAATTATGTTGAAATACCGAAGGATTAGTGATGTGTTTACTTTTTATCCCCCTTTGACTAGTTTCGACAAACGTTATCAAGTGCCCGAAACGAAGAGAAGACGATTTTATCAATTTTTCCTTAAATTTGTTCTCTCCTCCTTATTAGATATTTATTTTAAATTACAATACTCCAAAATCAAACAACTGCTGCCTTGTAGTTTGTTCTTGGTTGGACAAAGGCTATGAAAGCAAATCCAAAAAGAAAAGCTGGCTGAAATCGGAGTCAACGGACTATATGAAGCATAACAAGTTAACATGTAATACTTAATTGTTTTAGAGGAAATCCCTTCCAACACTACAATTAAGCACCAAGAAGAAGAAGAAATACAATTCGACCCTTTGTTAGGAGATATCTAAAAAAAAAAAGTCTACGAAATGTATATTTCATGCTGTATGTAATTATTTTTTTTTAAATTCATGAAATTATTTAAACAGTGAGACAGTGTGGTTGGACGCCAGAGCAGATGACAAATAACGCGTATGTTTCGAGTTCAGATCTCTGACTCGGGTCCGTTTACGTTGTGAGTCACCTCAGCTTTGGTGGGTACCCGACTCACGGTAGGGAAATTGTAGGCAGGTGGGCACACAATCGATATTACTACCCAGTCTATGACGACATCACGGAAACAGAACAGCTCTACTTCACCTTCTCTAGTGACAGGAATTTTTAAAAAAACCGTCACATTTAAAACTGCGAGTTTAAAATAATGAAATAGTCTGTGCGTGAAATGAAAATCGCTAGGGGTGTCGAAATTATTAATGGGGGGAAGGGGTTGGGGGGGGGGGGGTATTTAGTCGTGCGGTCCTATAGCAATTAGCAAGCGTCCATTAACCCAATTACCCAAGGACACCGCAGCTATTCACCAACCTCACGCCGTCACTGTGTCGACGTGACCCACAACATCCAGGTATCGATACTCTTGGGAATCGATACACACCAGACGACTACCATACCGAGGTAAATATAACGTAATATTGAACAGCATGTTTTTTTTTATTTCACACAAAACCGATATAAGGTATCGATATTCACTCATCAATCAACACACCAGCCGACCACCATCTGTTGTGGTAGGTGTATTGTAGTGTAACACACACGACACCTAGATCTAGATCACAGCGCCCTCTACAGTGACACAATAGAACAGGGTTTTGTATTGACTGGGCAAGGGGAGTTAAGCTGTTGGCAAGTTCTGGTTCAAGTTATAAATTATTTATAGAATATAGATCGGACGTATGTATGCATTGAAACACATACCATGTGTTGCAACTACAGCCTGTACTTTTAGGACAGGCGTATAGCGCTGATAGAATAGAAACATATACTTAATAATGCGTGGATATTACACGCATGGAACGAGTGTACTTTTTTTAAACTAATAAACACAGCAAAACAATTCATGGAAGGAAGTTAAAAAAAAAATCCTCTTTAGATCTAGCGAGTTAATTTGTTGCTTAACCTCGGAATATGAAGGGCTAGTGTCGTCAGCACTATGCCCAGCCGCCTTTACTTTCTCCAACGTTAGTTAGGTACCCGTCAGAGCTGGGTAGACTCAGGGAAGTCCCACACTCCAACCAGAGATCCGAACTCGGGTCTATAGAACGTAGAGTAGGCCTATACATTTTTTTTAGACTATCGAACAGAGAGACTAATTTTAGAGAAAGAAACACCAGCCATAAATAACAAACTAGCAAACTTATAGAACAAAATATAACATGAAAGGAAAAAAATAGCTAAGTCATGTAACATATTTTCAAGCAAGAAACTAGCAAAGTCTTTGAAATGAAAATCATAGTTATTGAAATAGCTAAATTATTCATAGAATAAAATAGCAAATTCGTGAAAATAACTATCAAACGCATCTAACAAATTACCATTGTAATGAAACTGAGAAGATGATTCATGTTACAGATTATCATCACATTGAACAAATTATCGCACAGATTATACTATTAACACCAGAGGCGTAGCGAAGACTGGGCGGGGGGTGCGGACCGCACCGGGTGTCATCATTTAGGGGGGTGACACCAAGGCAAAAAATATTATACACATACATGTACGCGTATGCGGCATATATTTAAACTATAGGCCTATGTAGGCCGACACAAACACACACACACACACACACACACATATATATATATATATATATATATATATATATATATATATATATATATATATATATATATATATATATATATATATATATATATAGGCCTATATATGTTGATATATACTTTGTTTCTTGGGGGGAGGGAGGTCTCACCAAGAAGTGCCGCACCAGGTGACACCCGACCTAGCGACGCCACAGATTAACACTGTTAAGGGAAAACAAAGTCTAACACTAAGACCCCCCACCCAATAAATCCACCCCCTTCACTTTATTTTCCATGTGTAAGTCGCATGCGCGTTATGTAACTATTGAGTAAGATCACCAAAATAGGGGTGATGGTGGCTGCGTAGAACGGGAGGGGGGGGGGGGCGGGGGCGACATCCAATTACACAGAACAACATTTCGGCTTCCCCATTGTCCAGAAACT